CAGAAATACAAATACTGTAAGATTTCCACTTATATGAAATACCTAAAATAGTCAAATTCATTGAAGCAGAGAATAAAATGATGGTTGAAGGGGCTGGTGGAGGAGAAATAGGCAATTGATTTTAAATGTGTCACATCTCTGTTATGCAAAATGAATAAGTTCTGGAAATCTATTATACAACATAATATGTATAGTTAACAATATGGTATTGTGCACCATAAAAGATGTTAAAAGAATAGACCTCATGATAAATGTCTTACCACAACATGCACACACACAAACACACACACATGCATGAATGCACGCACACGTGAACACAAGAATACAAGGAAATTTTTGGAGGTGATGTATATGTTTAGTACCTTGGTTATGGTGATGGTATCGTAGATGTATGTATAAATACAGAGTCATCAACATATATACTTTAAGTGTGTGCAATTTTTTGCATATAAATTATACCTCAATAAAGCTAAAAATTCATTAGAAATATATAGAACTCCCCCCAAAATATGCCAGCTCCAAACCCCAAAATTTATAAACTCTTAACCCTAGAGTCTTTGTCTTTAAATTTATATTTTTTAAAAACAAAGGGGATGTTTATAGAGTAAAAGATGATATGTAATACATATTAAAAAATGGATAATTTTAAATTTATCACTACAGAATTTTTATATCATAGATAATTTTTAAATGGTATACTATACATTCCTGTTTTAAATATGATTTCTTCACACAGGAGTATATAATCAACTAGAGGCCTGGTGCACAAAATTTGTGCACTGGGGGGGTGTCCCTCAGCCCAGCCTGCACCCTCTTCAATCTGGGACCCCTTGGGGGATGTCCAACTGCCGGTACAGGGATTGGGCCTAAACTGGCAGTCAGACATCCCTCTCACAATCCGGGACTGCTGGCTCCCAACTGCTCACCTGCCTGCCTGCCTGATTGCCCCTAACCACTTCTGCCTGCCAGCGTGATCACACCCTAACCACTCCCCTGCCAGCCCAATTGCCCCCAACTGCCCTCCCCTGCTGGCCTGGTCACCCCCAATTGCCCTCCCCTGCTGGCCTAATCGCCCACAACTGCCCTCCCCTGCTGGCCATCTTGTGGTGGCCATCTTGTGATGACATGGGAGTGGCCATCTTGTGACCACATGGGGGTGGCCATCTTGTGACCACATGGGGGCAGCCATCATTGTGTGAGGGTATGATGGTCAATTTGCATATTACCTCTTTATTATATAGGATACTTATGGTGTCAGTCTGTGGCAACGTAGAGATGGCTATTCTCTTAAGGAAAAGTAAAGAAAAGAAAAAGAGTAAAAGGCCTTGCCCAATCATCTTTTCAACACAAAAACTGAACCTGCAGGAAAAAAAACTAATGCTGTTTATGAAAAGAAGAATCCTTATCTCCAAAATGGTCTTAACCAAATATCTCTGTGGAAGGATTTCTTCTAGAACAAAATAGGATCTTTCTATTATGAGACATGCATTACTAGAAAATGTCCTGTCAACTATATAATAAAACCCGTATATTCAAATAGAACAAATGGCGGACTGAACAACCAGTCACTATGATGTGCACTGACCAACAGGGGGTGTGCGCAGAACATGGCAGGCATTGGCAGCAGGCAGCAGAGCACAGAACATGGTGGGCTATGGCCGTGGCGGGAGGGTGGAACAGGTGAGCAGGGCGCCAGACGAAGGAGGGGCGCCAGTTGTTGTCATCAGGGCAAACCTCTGGTGGTTACTGAAAATTCTTTGCTCCCACGCACCACGGTCCTGCTAGGTGCTCACACCCGCTGCCAGCATTAGAGCCACAGTTCACACCTGCTGCCGGCCCTGATTGCTCAGCACCATCAGTGGGTGCAAGAGGCAGCTACTGGCCCCGATCACCCCTCAGGGTTTCTCCACCTCCTCCTGCTCCTGAGGGGTGATTGGAGCCAGCAGCTGCCGCTTGCACCCACTCCTGGCAACAGCCCTGCTCGCACCTGCTGCCGGCGCCAGTTCCAATCACTTCGCACCGGCAGTGCGTGGTAGTGGTGGTGGTGGGAGCGGGGCTGCTGGCAGACAGGGGATCTGGATCTGGACAGTGGCGGGAGGGGCCGGGCAGAGGTGTGGAGGATGGGCTGGGACCCGCCCCTGTGCCCACCGCAGCCCACGGCCCACAGTTTCTTTCAAGGTGCACAAATTCATGCACTGGGCCCCTAGTATAAAATAAAGATGTTTCATACACCAAATGTTCCCCACTATGTGGAACCATGGCCACTGCAAAACTCATTTCGTGACCTCATCATTAATTTCTTCTTAACCTGCTTTTTCATTATTCTCACATTATGAATTTGTATAGATTAATTAAACATCAACTGAATTCTTTGTGTTATGCTTTAAACTCTATAATAGTAATGCTTAACTTAGATATTAAAACATCTGATTTCAACCTACCTTTTTCTTTATCATTTTATGCTTCTACAAGTAAAGTGGATTCTGAATAGCCTAATTTTCTTTCATAATTCTTATAATAGCCTTAGAGTTAAGTAAGTCATCTCAGCTCTGAAGGTTACCTTGGCAATGTCTATAAATTATCCACTATTAGTTCAATTAATTCTGACTTCTGTAATTTAGTGCTTGTATTATTCTTAATTATATTTGTTTAGAAAGGTCTTGAAGGCACTTCTATCAGCAAAGTGGTGTCCATGTTTCACTGTTGTTATACATTTACAGAATTCTAATGTGGTGTTTCATCAGCCTCACTCTCTGGCCTGATAAGCTAATTTAGGTTTTGTGAAGGACAAGATTACAGATTTTCATGATGTATAGGATGTTGGGGTGAAGGTTCACTCCAGTGCCCTGGAAAATCTAAAGTCCTGAAGGATTCAGAGCTAATAAATGACAAGTCTAGGATTCCCACTACTCTCCTCATACGATAGCCATGGCCCCCATTCAAAAATATAGGCACATAGAGCTAGAGACAGAAGTCCTGGTTACCACCAGTTATAACCACATTTGCTCAGCACTGGGTAGAGAGAGGGTAATGAAGCAGATGTGAGCTCTATTATCATGAAGCTGACGTTCACTGGAAAAGGCATTCAGTAAACATTCAAGTTTGATGATGTTTTTAAAAATCTCGCCCATTTCTTTGAGGAAAATAGTAAGGGAAGAATTTTTTGGACTCTTTCTAAAGGGACTTGTAAACTGTGGTGGACAGCACCATGTGACTGGCTAGATGGTGAGAGAACTGTGTGGACTTTCTAGACAAAAAACAGGGTGGACCTGGGGTATTAGTCAGGATTCTCCTGTCTCCTGAAAAACAGAATCAATAAGATATATATATATATATATATATATAT